TTTACTACAATATATTCCAACGATTAGAGGGCCCCCCTGACAGGGCTGTCCCCAACACTGACGCTAGTGGAAGCTTCTGTGGGTGCTCACCAGCCTCATCCACACTGCCAATGCTACTGCCGGCTTTTGCGGGTGCCCCCACCCCAGACTCAGGAGGCACCAATCACCTGTGACCACACAGCAGGTACGTTTGACTTTGGAAAGCCAGAAGGCAAACCCACAAGGACAGTAGCAGGTAAAGAACATGATTAGGAATAGGCAGCTTGGATTCAGCAAGTCATGCCTGACTAACCTGATTGCTTTCTATGGTGAGGTGACTGGCTCTGTGGATGTGGGGAGACTGGTGGATGTGGTGTACCTTGATTTTTGCAAGGCTTTTGATACAGTCTCCCACAACATTCTTGCAGGCAAGCTAAGGAAGATGGATGAATGGACTGTAAGGTGGATAGAAAACTGGCTGGAGCATCACGGTCAGAGAGTAGTAATCAGTGGCTGGGCAGCAGCTCTGAAGAAAAGGACCTGTGGGTTACAGTGGAAAATAAGCTGAATATGAGCCAACAAGGTGCTCTTGTTACCAATAAGGCTAATGGCATACTGGGCTGCATTGGTAGATGTGTTGCCAGTAGGTCAAGGGAAGTGATTATTCCCCTCTATTCAGGACTGGTGAGGCCCCATCTGCAGTTTTGGATCCCCACTACAGAAAGGATGTGGACAAATTGGAGACAGTACAGCGGAGGGCAACAAAAAAGGTGAGGGGGCTGGGGCATGTGACTTATGAAGAAAGACTGAGGGAACTGGGCTTATTTAGTCTAGAGAAGAGGAGACTGAGAGGGGATTTAATAGCAGCCTTCAACTACCTGAAGGTGGGCTCAAAAGAAGCTGGAGCTAGTCTGCTCTTAGTGATGGCAGGTGATGGAACAAGCAGCAATGGTCTCAAGTTGTAGCATGGGAAGTTTAGGTTAGATATTAGAAATAATTTTCTCACTAGGAGGGTAGTAAAACATGGGAACAAGTTATCCAGAGAGGTTGTGGACTCTCCATCCTTGGAGGTTTTCAAAACCCAGCTAGACAAAGCTTCGGCTGGGATGATCAAGTTAGGGATGGTCCTGCTTTGAGCAGGGGGTTGGACTAAATGACCTCCTGAGGTCCCTTCCAACCCTTATTTTCTACGATTCTGTGAACTTTATACGCAGCCATGGGGCAAAAGAGGACACAAGAATGACGCATAGCAATGAAATTTGATGGTGACTCAGCTAAGAATGCCACTGTGGCCATCTTCTTTAGCACCCTACTGCAGAATTAAACCTTTGGGACAGGCTGGTTTTAGTTTTTCTTTTCCCAAATCACAATTTGGGGGAACTGTTGGTCTACTTCAAGCAGTCTCTTATATGGTAAGGTCCCCATCACTACCCTCATCTGCTCAACAACATTTCAACATTTTGAGGCAATTTGATGTTTGCTCAGAACTTGAAAATACAATGTCTTTGATCCCCGGGGTCCTGCCCAAGAAGTGGATATAGACAAAAACAGACTGACTGGGTGCATCCACACATGAAATTAGCACAATGCAATAAACTCGGGTGCAGTTTTTATACATAGGCTCAGTGCTACAGGCAGCCCCCATTATAGCACCCTGGTGCCCCAGACAGCCCCAGTCACCATCTACACATGCGATGTGGCAGAGTAAATAACTGCCGTAGGATAGTACTTCTATCAGGCGGTACTAACCTACAGCAGTTAATTAGTTCACTCTGGCCTAATAGCTCAGCATGTGTAGACAGAGACATGTACTGTGGAGCTAATTAGGAAATTCCACAGTAAGTGTCTCATGTATTTGCCCCCACTGAAGCTGAATCTGAATAAGGCAGAGATGACATTAGTGGGTCAGAGGATGTATCTTGAGAGTGTTACCAAAGGGGTTTTCATACCTCCGCTACTGAAGCTATTTTGTCCTCCCTTCAGGCAAGAAATCTGCAGTTTGCAAGTGCTTTTTTGGTTCCCATCTGCTGCTAGAATGCCAAAATTGGGCAAAAGCCAATGGTGTCTGGTTATAGATCTGCAGGCTTTTTATTTCAAATTCTATTTTGCTGATGTCATCCATGACTGTCATATCTTGTTCAACATGGGGCTAAACAGGAATGTCCTGCAGAAGCCACAGCTCATGCAGAATACAGCTGTCTCCCTGTTATGTAGTATGAGATGTCTACTCTTCCAGCTCATCCACAACTGCACTGACATGCTAGTTGGTCAGGTGTTGGCTTCACCGTTGATCTACAGAACCCCTTCAATGACGCTCAGTCCCCTTAATGCAAAATGATTGATTTTATCTTTTAGCATAAATACAACTAAGTCATTTCTCTGGTCCCCTGAACTAAGTATATGACCTTAACAATGCTATGAAATGAATTCCCAGCTCTGACTTGGCATCACTTTGCAATGATGTGCATGACTACACAAAATGCAAGGCAAGACTGAATCAGGACCCATGTGTTTATATGCCAGAAGTGGGCAATTATTTCAGCTGCAGGGCCTCTTAATTACTTTTGGTGAGCTGTCAAGGGTAGCCACACCCCATGACAGGTGCCCCGCCTCTGGGTTGCCATCTTCGGACTGGAAGTCCCACTCCTAACCCCTGAACTTTATCACTGGAAGTCTCCCCCCCATTTGTCCCCAGAAGTACTCCTTTTTGGCAGGGCATTGCCATTCTGGAACTAGAAAAGAAATCATATACTAAAAATCAAACACCTACTATATCATATTTTAATTTTATTTGTAAAAATTATTTTTGTCCTGATTTACTTGTGTTTGCATAGTGTGTATATGGGTGATTGCATAATAACTCTAAATAAAGTCTTACTCTTGTATATTATAATGGGGAGAGTCATATATGGTGGGTATGTGGGGGATGGGTGTGAGCTGTTGGGGGTGGTTGGTGTGGGGTTGCCAGCCGCAGCAGCAGCAGCAGCAGCAGGCAACAGGCCTTGGGGTGCTCCTGGTCCACTGCAGGCAGAGGCCCTGGGCAGCGTGCTGCTCCAGCTGAATTCCAGGAGCTGCACATGGTGGCATGGAGCCCACCTGACCCAGCCCACTGCCATGCACCTTCAAATCAGATCAGGCCAGCTCCACGCCTCCAGCACATGGGGCACCTGACACTTCAGGCAGGAGCCATACACCATCGGGTTGGGCTGAGCTGGCTCTGTGCCTCCACTTGGTGCTCCCAGAACTCCAGCAGGGAGCTGCATATGGAGGCATGGAGCCACCTGGCCCGATGGCATGTGGACCCGGAGGGAGTTGCATCATCATGCTTTGTGCCTCCACATGGGGCTCCCAGATGGAGTGCCAGGAGCCTCACAGAGGTGAAAGCACAAAGCCCACTCAGTCCATTGGTGCACGACCTCTGAAAGCCCGCCTCCCACTGTCTTTCAGAGGGGCAGCCATGGGCCAGTAATAAGTGTTTTTGGAGGGGCCCCATGGGCCAGATAGAATGGCCTGGTGGGCTGGAACTGGCATGCAGGCCATATTTTGCCCACCCCTGTTATATGCAATGTGCATGTTATCTGTCATGCATAATGGGCTCACCTTTACAGTGAGCAGCAATTTGCACTCTGACTAGTCCTATTCATACCAGGGAAGAGATGGAAGAATTAAAGGACTAGACAGAGTAAGTCAGAGAGGGTTTGTATCCAGCCAGTGATAGCAACAACAACAATAATAATAGCAGCCCATTTCTCCCAACGTGTTAAAGTGGTTGTATGTTACATCTTAAATTTGTTCTACTCTCATGACCTTATATATACTTTTCCCATTAAAAAGAAACACACAAACAAGATTGTTTCAACATCTAAATATATTTCTTGGCTCATAATACATCATTTACAGTAGAGAACTCTGAGTGATATAATACCATTGTTGCCATTTAGATTAGGTAAATATAAGAAAAGTATGTTTGTACAATATGTTCATTTAAGGCCTGCCAGACTTCTACTGAATTTGCACTGAAGTCAATGGGAACCTTTCCATTGGTCACAATGAGAAAGGGGTCAGGCCCTTAGTTTTTATAAAATGTGCAAACAAGAAAACAGAGTAGATGGGCATTTGCTATAGCATACAAAGTACAGTACAGGTAGCCATTATCACACCTTCTTAATACCAATTGTATCATACATGCTGCCAAAATAAAAGCTTATTCATATTATTCTACACGCAGAATAATATACTTACACAGCGTCTTCTAAATGACTATGGCTCCTTTCAGTCCAGTGCTTAACAGAAAACCATAGGTCATTACACAATAAGATGGCAAATTAATTTTATGTACCTATAGATTTTAATTAATTTTAAAAAACATTCTACATGAACTGATAGATTTCAGGTTTTCTTATTTTCTCTTATACTAGATAACACCTGAAATAATCTGCATAGTAACTTGAACAGTGTTGTTTCATTGTGCTATGAAATCATTGGTTGCAGGTAGCAATGTAACATTTCAAAGACAATCACAATACATGCAGGATGTCCAGCCAGAAGCATTTCTCAATTGACTTGCAGCAGCATGGCACTCTATATTTTGTGCATTCACAGGTCTGGTGTTTAATTCAGGTGTGGCTCATTCAGCAACCCCCCCCCAACCCTCCACCCCTAACTTTCCTCACTCAACCTTACATGTGACAGCAAATCCAGCCTTGGGGAAAATGTTGTCCTGGGTGAACTTTTACTTTGGTGCCCCTCCTTGGTGCCCCTTCCCCAGTGTGTCCCCACCCCAGGTAGACAGAGTCAAGTGGCAAGGGGGAGTAGAGCGCAGCTTCCCAGGCAGATGGCCCCATTTCCAGCTCATCCCTATCCCCATCCCCAGCCACCACACTGCAGCCACCTGGCAGCTATCAGCCTGGCCCACTGCTGCCTGTGCACCCACGTGGAGCTGCCGCTGAGCCCAGGAGTGATCACAAAACCACCAGAGAGAGAGAGAGAGAGAGTGTGTGTGTGTGTGTGTGTGTGCGTGCGTGCATGTGCACACGGTGCCCTCCTAATATCCTCCTAATGCCACCCTGACCCCAGTGCCCCGGGCAGTTGCCCACTTCAACCACCCCTAAGGCCAGCTCTGTGTGACAGTCACTCAGCTGGTTGAAATCAGTAATTTTGACTTCAGTAGAGATGCACCAGTTTACATCAGCTGAGGCACTGGCCTGTAGTTTTTCAAAATAAAATATTCATTTTGGGACCAACCTTAGATTCTTTCAGAGCTTTTATGGACTTGAGTGGAATTTCTGGTACGCAGGAATGCAGCATACAGCCCTTAATAATACATACACTAAATTACTGCTTGGAGCTTGGAGCTGCTTGAATCCACTCTGAGAAAAGGACCTTTACTCCCATATCTGGCCTCCCTACACACAGGAATGGAGTGCAGTGCATGTGTGAAGAGCAGAATATTGGGAGTGATATTCCCCATGTGTGTTTGCAAACTGGATTTTGCGCTCCCGTTAAGCTTTGAAATGTTAAGAGTGTTTCCATCTCTGTTTGGCCATTACACTATGGGCTGATAGAGAGAGAAAGAGAGAGAGAGAGAGAGAGAGAGAGTTTGGCCTCATTTATAAAAAAAAAGTGCTTTTGCTTCCTTTACCTGATAAGCAGTCAGTTCTGATGTATCCCACCATCTATCCCATATGTTTGTACTGAGATCTGTCTCGAGGAATTTGTACTTGATTGGCTGTCAGCTTGTGATGGATATGGTACACACAAAGAGTTATCACAATAATCAACCCCAATATCAGACCCAAAATCAGAGGCAGGGTTTCTTCCAACTGCTCCCTCTGGTCCACTGGGCATTTATGTGCTGCAGTTTATAAAAAGAGAGAGAAGGACTGATGATGAAACAGTTTACTCATTAACTTATGTAGTGCAAAACTGACTTTTTCAAAGAAGCAAAGTTAAACAAACAACAGCAAAAATGATGCCCTGTCTACAAAACAAAAACATATGCAGTAGAAATTAAATCAAAATAGCAGGAATATTAGTTACTGTCGGGCAGTTGTTTAAAAGCAATAGCCTTGACAATCACCAGCCTACTTCAGGGAAGCACATAATCACAGGCTTAGCTTAGCTTTGTCTATTCATCTATTTTAATTTTCTTCTTCTTTCAAATTTGTTCCTTCCCTGAAAGTGACTAAAATAGCTCTGCAGGAACTCCACTTTCAGTGTTTCTTGGCTCTGCACCAGGTTTGCTCAGTTTACAAGTGAAAATCCTGTTTCTTTTCTATCTTCCGACCCTGGGAGCTCACTCCAGAATCTGATAGGGAAACAGTTCTTTCATGTTCACACCTCCACTGAATAAATTGTCCCAGGGGAGACGCATTATTACTGAGGTCACAATGTAACGGTTGAGAATGCTTGCATTTCCAGGCTCACAGCTCTAGAATTTGAAGTCCTTTATGTATCTACAGAATGAAGCATGTATGAGCCAGCAGCAGTATGAATGTATTTTAAGTTTCTCTTACAGGCATCATCAAAAAGGTGAGAGTAGTTTTAGTCTCTGACTTCAATCTCGGATTCATATACTTGAACCAAGTTTAAACTAGCTAGCCCAAGTAATGACAGCAGTGTAACCACAGGGGCATAAAGCCCCAAGCAGACAAACTACTTAAGTATTTTGTAGCCAGCAGTGAGCTATGCACTTTAAAGCAAGCTCTAATGGGCTCAGGTGTGCTGTCTTAAGTTGTAGCCACTTTTGATGTTAGTGTTGATGTTCCTATACATTAAGCCAGATCCTCAGTTGCTGTAAACTTCAAAGGAGAAATGCTGATTTACACTGGATAAGGATCTGGCCCTAGATTCTCTGATGTGACTTCAGTAAGCACGTCTACATATGCAAATAATGCACATGAATAAGCTCTGGAGTTTATTGCTCCAGAGTTTTTTGCCCCCAAGCAGGTTGTTCGAATGTATACCTAGGAGCAAAAAACTCTGGAGCATTTTGCTCCAAAGCTTATTCATGAGCAGCACATAGAGCCTGGTCAGAATAGCCTGGGCTGTCAGGGGACCCGGGGAGTCAGCCTGTCAGCTCAGGGATGCTCTGACCAGGCTCCATGGGCTGTGGAGGGGCTGGATGGGACATGAGGGTGCTTCAGCACAGGCGCTGCCTCCTGGCTAGCCCCACAGTGAGGCACCCTGTGCCCCAGGCAGCCAGGCAGTATCTACATATGTGCTTCTGTACACGAAAAAACTCACAGCAAGATAGTATTTATATTTACAAGTACTACCCTGCTGCGGAGATTATTTGTTTTGTGCGCCTTAATAGAGGCACGTGTGTAGGCACTGAGATGTGTACTACACAGTTAAGTAGTCAACTGCACAGTAAATATCACATGTAGACATGCCCAGTGAAACTAAATGTGGGAGGAAAGTTGCACTGATCTTTTCAGGATCATAACTTCCAAAAGCAACAACTTTCATCACTGCCAATCATGGAGAAGATATGGTATAATATAAGTGAATCCTGGGCACAGCAACTAAGAATTTACCAGACACTGTTTATAAGATCCTTGGGAAAGGACCTGCTCTTTGTTGGCTATTTGTATAATGCTCAGAACAGTGGATCAGGGACACCTATGTGTTACCACCATATAAAATAACAGCATTTTTTGTAGAAAATATATTACAAGGACATTATTAAGATTGCAAAGTGGAGCACTCAAAAGTTAAGCAATGTCAAGGATTTAGGTCACCCAGGCAATTGAAATTCTTTCTAACTAAGATGCAGGTCAAGATTGTATTCCATCTAGTACAGGGGCGGGCGGGCAATTATTTCAGGTGGAGGGCCATTTACCGAGTTTTGGCAAGCCATCGAGGGCTGCATAACAGGCAGCCAGGGGCATATAAATATTAATTTTCTAAATTTTTTAGGGGCCCTGCAGGCTGGACAGAATGGCCTAGTGTGCCACATCTGGCCTGCGGGCCACATTTTGCCCACCTCTAATCTAGTAGGTGTCACAGATAATATTTTGGCTTCAAAGGGCATGTCCAAATGAGCATGCACATGTGGTTTGCAGCACGGTGGGGGGGTTTTAACATCAGAAGATCCTGATGTCAAAAAACCCCATGGCTGAAAAAAGCAGCATGGCACATGTGGCTACAGTGCATGCTGCCTGAAATGGGAGCCTGCCAAGACAGAGCCAAGCTCCAGCTGCTGGCCAGGCTCTGCACACCCAGATCGCCACTGCTGGAGCCCCAGGAGGGCCGCAGAACTCCAGGTAAGGCTACTAGGGCCAGCTGAGGTGCTGGCTGCAGCCTCCCCTACCCCACCCAGGGCAAAATTGCTGTAGTGGCACTCTTGACATAGAGGCAAAAATCTAACCATCCACTGTACACACAGTGCAATAACCACCTGAACTGCACTGTGCTATAGTACTTCCAAAAGAAAGTAGTAAAGCACAGTGCTGTATCAATTGCACCATATGGCAACATGTAAACACACCCTCTGTGATTTATTCTTAAGGCTAAGATTGGGGTATGTTACAAAAGTAGATGTGTTATTATTTTTTCAGGGACTTGAGCAGGGTGGACTAAGATTGCACTTAGACATATAGGGCAGAATTATATGCTATTGCTAAGATAAAAAGTGGCATTTATGCAGCTTTCAGGCATCTACATCACCCTATGACATTCTGTATTGTTTGATTAGCCTGCACATAGTTAAATGCCTTCTGAAGCTACAGTTTTGTTGTATGTGACTAGGTTTGTCCCTATACATATGCTCAGAAGTGATACATTGCTGCCCCAGAGATTATAAATTAATTTATGCTCCATTATGATTCAATATAGATATCTTCAGCATATTTTTAAAACTATTTCCTGTCCTTGCAGAGACAAGGCATTGACAGTGTCCTCACCCACCTGCTTTATCTGTGACAAGTTAGGGTATGTTTGATGTTTTGGCATTGTGTCTGGCAATTATATGAAGGGATTGTTTGCAATGCTCTTAAGAATAGACTGCACAAGCACTCTTGTCAAATGGATTAAGCCCTTTCTTGAGTACAGGATTGAACTAGATGACCTCTTGAAGTCCTAGTTTTCTATGGTTATGAACAACACCATTATGAACAACAGCATTAAACCACATGCATTATAGTCAACTACAAAAACACGATGAGCAACTGTTTGATGCTGGCATGTTTCTTACTTTTTGACCAACAGTCAAGAGACTGAAACACTACTAGAGGAAAGGGGAGCCTTGGAAGACCCAGGTTTTAGGCCAACATCCTCTTGAAGGAATCTGAACATTGGTCTTCCCTATCATCAGACACCAAACTAATGACCAAGCCACTGCCCAGGAAGAACTGAGAGTTCCTTCTTGATGATGCTCAGCCACTGAGCAACCAGAAAAGAAAGCATCCTGGTGGCAAAAGAAGAAAAAACAAGAACCTCAGCTATGTTGTTCAAAGAGTTGGTTGCTGTTTTAGCAGGACCCAAGTGAGCTCTTACTGCCCATTTTGTTGGTGCATTTTTGCCTTACAGAGCTACTGAAAAACTGTATAAACAGCACTGCGAACAGAAAACATGCTTCTTTACAGAGTACTTCAAATGAAAATCCCACTCAATGATGCTGGAATAGAAGACCAGACTGCCCAGAGACTTTCCTTTAAGGAAAAAAAATTCCAAATGTACAATATTCAGCATTCATGAGCCCTCTAGTCCAACAATCACCAACCTTTTCTGGCTGCAGGCTGGAATGACCCATTTTGGGTCACAGGCAGGTGGGCAGTAGGATCCCCCTGCAGCTGCACCAACATAGGGAAAGCCCCTTTGATGCCAAATGCCACCAAATCCCCACATCTCAGGGCCAGATGTAAAAGCTCAACAGGCTGTAGGCTGTCAACCCTGGCTCTAGCCCACCCCACCTCACAGGATGCCCACTGAATCTTTTCACAGTTAATCTCTCCTAAAAATATGCTTCTCCAGGGACATACGTCATCATATACCCAGCATATGCAAAAATGTGAAGTGGAGACATTAAGGCAGTAGTTCTCAACATTTTTAGTCAGAGCATCCCTCCATAACTTTTTTGAATTTGGTAACATCCCAGTTGAGAACCACTGTTGTGCTTCCTCAGCTTACCTCACAGGTTCTCAGCTTTTTTTCGGTTGACTACAATTTATGGGGTTTAATGCTGCACTTGTGGGGCACCCATGGTGTTGTTCATAGAAACATAGAAAACTAGGGCCTCAGGAGGTCATCTAGTCCAATCCTGTGCTCAAGGGGATGGGGGGAGAGGAAGGAGGCTGGTACGGGGGATGGAGGACAGAGTTTTGATCATTTCCAACCACAGAGGATCTACCTCTGGGAGGTGATGGATCTCTCATTCTATTACCCATCTCTTGTGCTATTGAGGCTCACAAAAACACCATTGACAACACAGGGTTAAAAAAAAAGCAGCTGGGCATAAAGAGAGAGGGAACTGGGAAATTAATTCTATTATTAAGCTTTTTAAAACATAAATGAAGCAAGCAAGCCAAAAATACAATGTGAAAAGTATTCTAGCAAAGTCCTTTTCACTCCACATACTGTACCGTTTTGCCAGAACAGTGATTAATCACCAGTACTGTGTAACAGACAATTCAACAATTGCTGCAATGCAGTTTTTATAGAAAAGGGGGAGGAAATGGCTATGGATTCTTATTCTGGACTCAAAAATTGGCTCCAGTGCTTGACTAAAAACTTTCCCATTAATGATGCTGAGAATCCTGTTACCAAATTCATTACCAAACCAGAGGCATGTAGGCCAGTAGGCATTCCCAGATATTGACCCTTCATAGGCCAGTATGGAAGGAAGAACTGAGT